GTGGAATCGCGCAAGCCACCATCGTTGCCGACTCGCTAAAGGAGGGCATAATCGACCACTCCCCCTTAGCCCTTGCTGCTTTGAGACACACTTCAACATGGCGACGGGTCTCGGGAACGCGCAAACGAAGGCGGAGTGGTGAGGCGGAGTGTGTAGGGACCGGTTTGGGATTGGGCCTTGTTGGTTTTTGGACATTGAAAATTCAGTTTAATGCTCATGAATTCAACCCCCTTTAAATTAAACGGAATTTAAAAAAATATACCATATGCTCCCTCGCATCATTTTCTGAAATAATAAATGTAATCATGATCACATCTATACATCTACAATTCCACTTGTATATGGCGTAAACTGTCTCATCACATTCAAGATTTTTACAGCCTCTAACTTCCAACTACCGTTTTGCTTTATATATCCATAGCCACGCCCCTCGCGGACACTTTTGTGCACGCGCAGAGCGCGGGATTTTAAAGTCTGGTAGTAACTTGATGCGCGGTCGAACAAACATCCAGCTTGTTAGAGTATGTTAATAAAGGTAAGAGAACCAAGTTAATGCTACGCTGTGTTTAATGTCCTGTACACATTTAGTACGAGCCTTTTTTTCCTAGGGGTCAGTTTCACCGCTGACTAATTTAACTGTATGAAACATATGAAATATCAAAGCTAAAACCATGGGTTCCTTTAAATCAGAGCTAGATAAGATTTTAACAACTCTGAGATATTAGCTAAGTTCTCCCCAAACGAGCTTGATGGGCCGAATGGCCTCCTCTCGTTTGTAAATTTCTTATGTTCTTATGTTCTTATGTTCAACATTTTACACACATTTGTTTTTGTTGTTTTGGATGACAATGAGGTCAAATGCAATTTTTTAGTCTTCATATAATATGTTACGTTAAGGCCATAACGTAACATAACCATACCTGTAGTATTGTGAGAAGCACTGCTATTTGTCTGCAAGAAGCATGCACACACTCTCTGCATATCTAGTGCACAGTATGCTGGGGTCCAACCAGCGCCACAGGGTAAAAGCCATATACCATCTGCAGTTCAGTATGTAATCCATTTGAAGTTAAGGGGGTTTGGGCCTGGCCAGTATTTGGATGGGACACTCTGTTATAAAAATGGTGCTATCCTTTAGGTAAGATAGAAAACTCAGGTCCTGACTCTCTGAAACCATAAGTTGGTTGTACAGGATGGCGTGCTTTGTTGCATTCATGCATGTCAGATGTGTGTAGCATACTAGGCAGGGGCAAGGGTGGGAAAATGAGACCACAAGGTATATAAAATGAACGGATCAGTGTACACTCCCCTAAAGGATTATTAGGAACACCATACTAATACGGTGTTTGACCCCCTTTCGCCTTCAGAACTGCCTTAATTCTACGTGGCATTGATTCAA